GTACGCCGTAACCTTGTTACTTCATTGATGTCCTCTTTTTCTGCCTCATTCTGCCCCTCCTCCCAATTAGCGTTTGCCCCTGTCGACTCTCTGAGGCAGAGAGCCCTAGAATGCCTTTCTGCAGATTAAGACGGATCCGCTGCAGTCTTCGACCATCTGGAATGCTCTTTTTTTAGGCTGGAATAGGTCTTTATAAACTTTATAAAGTAAAATAACTAGCTTCCAGCCCAAACAAACATATGGACTCTACTTAAGTCTAAGCGCAACTTATGCGAGTAATGCGACGTACTGCTGATATTTAGGCTACGTCATGACGCACTCGCTACTGCCGACGTCACAAGTTGCATAAGTTGCGCTTTATATGCAAGTAGACTAGAGTAGACTAAAATTTTACTTTATAAGCTTTAAATATGAATATTTTTCTTACACAAACGCATCGCTTCACTTCAGAAGGCCTTCTGCACTTTTATGATGGACAGATGGACGTTTATGATGTATAGATGCACTTTTATGATGGATAGATGCACTTTTATTATGGATGGATGCACTTTTATCATGGATAGATGCACTTTTATCATGGATAGATGCACTTTTATCATGAATAGATGCACTTTTATTATGGATGGATGCACTTTTATGATGGATGGATGCACTTTTATCATGGATAGATGCACTTTTATCATGGATAGATGCACTATCATGGATAGATGCACTTTTATGATGGATAGATGCACTTTTATGATGGATAGATGCACTTTTATGATGGATAAATGCACTTTTATTATGGATGGATGCACTTTTATGATGGATAGATGCACTTTTATCATGGATAGATGCACTTTTATCATGGATAGATGCACTTTTATGATTGATAGATGCACTTTTATCATGGATAGATGCACTTTTATCATGGATAGATGCACTTTTATGATTGATAGATGCACTTTTATGATTGATAGATGCACTTTTATCATGGATAGATGCACTTTTATCATGGATAGATGCACTTTTATGATTGATAGATGCACTTTTATCATGGATAGATTCACTTTTATCATGGATGGATGCACTTTTATCATGGATAGATGCACTTTTATGATGGACAGATGGACGTTTATGATGGATAGATGCACTTTTATGATGGATAGATGCACTTTTATGATGGATAGATGCACTTTTATGATGGATGGATGCACTTTTATTATGGATGGATGCACTTTTATGATGGATGGATGCACTTTTATTATGGATGGATGCACTTTTATTATGGATAGATGCACTTTTATGATGGATGGATGCACTTTTATTATGGATGGATGCACTTTTATGATGGATAGATGCACTTTTATCATGGATGGATGCACTTTTATCATGGATAGATGCACTTTTATGATGGATAGATGCACTTTTATGATGGATAGATGCACTTTTATCATGGATAGATGCACTTTTATGATGGATAGATGCACTTTTATGATGGATAGATGCACTTTTATCATGGATAGATGCACTTTTATCATGGATAGATGCACTTTTATCATGGATAGATGCACTTTTATGATGGATAGATGCACTTTTATGATGGATAGATGCACTTTTATCATGGATAGATGCACTTTTCTCATGGATAGATGCACTTTTATCATGGATAGATGCACTTTTATCATGGATAGATGCACTTTATGATGGACAGATGCACTTTTATGATGGATAGATGTGCTTTGATGATGAATAGATGCACTTTTATCATGGATAGATGCACTTTTATGATGGATAGATGCACTTTTATGGATAGATGCACTTTATGATGGACAGATGCACTTTTATGATGGATAGATGTGCTTTGATGATGAATAGATGCACTTTTATGATGGATAGATGCACTTTTATGATGGATAGATGCACTTTTATCTTGGATAGATGCACTTTTATGATGGATAGATGCACTTTTATCATAGATAGATGCGCTTTGATGATGGATAGATGCACTTTTATGACAGATATAAGCACTTTTATCATGGATAGAATCACTTTTATGATGGATAGATGCACTTTTATGACAGATATATGCACTTTGATGATGGATAGATGCACTTTTATCATGAATAGATGCACTTTTATGGACTTCAAAACAGAAACGGCCATTCACTGCTATTATAAAGCGTGGAAGAGCCAGGACATTTTTTTTATATAACTCCGATTGTGTTCGTCTGAAAGAAGAATGTCATATACACCTAGGATGAGGGTGAGTAAATCATGGGCTAATTTTCATTTTTGATTGAACTATCCCTTTAACTGTCACCTCAGCGGAGAGACTGCCGACGAGACGGGCTAATGCAAGCATGAGCTTGAAAAGCCCGTAGACTCCAATTAGGGAACTAGAGATGTTCCTGGAAAAGACGTCCCTGAAGCCGTCTTCCCGCTAGAAAATGACTCTCGCCTCTCGGTCTCAGAGTCAAGCGGCATGGCAGCGGGGTGGAAAACGGCTCTGCTTTTATCAGTTGCGTTTTATTGACATCTTCATGTTTCTGCTCTGAGTTTGGAGCTGCAAGGAACTTGTGTTTCCTCTCGTTTCCCTTTTCCTGGCTGTCTGTCTCCCCCTTGTTTCTTCTAAGCACAGGAAGCCTGTCACTGTCGTGCCGTGACAGCGCAGCAAGACAACTCGCTGGGTCTGCCACACACTGAGCTCACTGTATTCATTAAGTGCTGATGTACGGCTGTGGTTTCCACTAGGGGGCAGTAGAGGATTTTGAGATGGTTTGACATAAAGCTCCTTTTAAAGACGCTGCCACAAACCACTCATGTTTTCCCTATAATATTCTCTTTTTAATAAACCACACCCGAGGAATGTAGGTTTAATAGTCATACCATAGATTTATAGTTTACCACCTTTCATTTTCTCTTAGCCTCATCACATCTGATCTCTGGTGCCGATGTACTGAACTAACTTGTTAGGTTGTGATTGATTGATATAGTTTAGTTGGCTGGGGAAAGTAAACCTAATCAGAAGTTGCGAGAATTTATTTTATTTTATTTTATTTGTAATGAAGCAACTGTAATAAATGCAAATGTAAATGCCCCCGACTGACACCATCGGTTAAGCCTAACAAGTGTTTCCAACTTGTGTTATCATTAACAGAAACTGAATAAAATTGTAACTGAAATAAAAAATAAAATGCATGATAAAAACTAAAAGTATTTTCATCACAACTAAATTACATAAAAATGGACATGAAGTGATTTTACTTTTTTTTAACTTTACTTTTAGTTTTTGATACATATTATAAAACTTAAAACCTTAACAATCCACCTGCAATACACATTTGCATTTTCTAGACAGCAACAGTGTTGTTTAGTATTATTTATATACTATTATATTTATGCTATTTTGAATTAGCTTTTTGACTTTAAAAATGAGTTGAACCTTGTTTAACTTAAAAAAAAGTTAAAAAATTGCTCAGCTTATTTTGTTGAGTTAAAAACATATGCTGTCATAACTTATTGATCATATCATTTTTTACATTGTTATTATTGTTGTTAATTAATACTATTAAAAACCACAGTGAATAGGAATAATAATAAGACTGTGTTGAGAACACATCACTTTGACAGCCTTAAAATACTAACACTATAATGATGCTAAAATTAGCTAAAATAAACTTAAAACTAGAAAACACAAAAAAATAATAGGCTACAAAAAAAAAAAAAAGCTAAATATAAAGCACAAATCAAAAATGTAAATACAATCTAAATTAAAAATCTAAAAGTCAAAATTGTACTTGTCTCTGCATATTAATCTGGGACAGGACAAAATATTTGAATATTTTTTTTTCCTAAACGTTAAGAGACCCAGCACATTAGACTAGTTTCCTAGGCAACAGCTCATCCGTGCATCACAGTGTCAGCATGACAACACATCCACCCCTCGTCCCAGTTTGTGCTGGACGTGACATCAATCACCGACCTGAACCTAAATCAGCCTCCCAGCGCACACGGGCTCAGCCCAGGTAACATCAGCCGTAAGCCGCTCTTAAGTCTCTCATATGATTTTATCAATGGTAAACGCAGCTAAATATGCGTAAATAAATCCCCCTCCCAGTACGTGTGTGGCCCTCCGCGGAGAGACCGGAGCTCTGTGTGGCTTAGGTCTGTGTCAGCCGGCAGGAGTTGAGCTTTACCCAGCATGCCCTGGGAGAGATGGATAAGCCGCATGTATCCGGCTGCCCACCTTCTCCGGGATGAGAGTATTTGCGGAGAGGGAGCGAGCGAGAGCTGTGTGATCTGTGTCTTTTTCTCTCTGTCTGTCCCACGCTTTCTCATATCATCCGTAACCACCCACCCCTGAGCAAACACTAAACATCAGCTCAGAAAACACGCAGCGTTCTCTCGGAGCCATTATCTTGATGCTGTTTTGTGAAATTTAAAACACTTTATCAAAGGGACTTTTCACACTTTTTGTCTCAGTTTAGGGATCGTGTGAATTTTAGTTTGTGTGTGAATGGTTAAATGAAATTGGACCCTTTAAGCAAACTAAACCGAGACTCTTGTGAGATTATAAATAATAATAATAATAATTATAATTAATATAGTGTTTAGGAGTTCCATAAAAACAACAACATTGTGCTGTCTAAATGCAAAGTTCATTGATTATTATGTTTATCTGAGTGCAATATAGTTATCATCATCGTTATAATTATTATTTAATAATATTCAAGTGGATCTGGTCCACAAACACGTACACAAAAGATAAATAAATAAATATTGGATGGAAAATGGACTTAAAGCCTGCAACAGCTAATGGACCTAAAAAGAAATAAATAAATCCGAAGCATGTTTTAAGGTCAGGGACAGTTTAAATGAACTTTTTAGTCCACTTAAAGCTTTCTGTTTGGTTTGTGATTGCACTCTTTACCATGTAAAGCAAATTGATTCGTCATGGCGTGACCTTTTAGCTTTTAGCTTTTGTGTCCTCAAAGTCTATGTGAGCGCGGCATTAGACA